CTAACTGAGCCATTAAAGCGGGAGCGAAGCGGCAAGAAAGCCGATACCACTTTTCTCGAGGATAACATCTCCATTACTGTGCGTGGCATATGATCGCCTACGGACCTCGGGAACCCAATATAAGCTCGTTATCCCTTGCCTCGAAAAGAAAACGAAAAAGCTTATTACTTGCTTCCTGATACGGACGGGGTTATACAGGGTATTCCTCTTTGTAATTCTATAATGCGAGGATAGCTTTAATTTCTCTCTGTTCTGTCTGACTGTCTGCGTGTGTATGTGTTTGTGTCTGTCTGACTGTCTGTTTTTTTCTCTTTATGTGTGTGTGTGCGTCTGTTTCTCCCCACCCCCTCTCTCTCTCTCCTCCCCCCTCCCCCTCCCTCCCTCCCTCCTCCTCTCCCTCTCTCCTTCCCCCTTCCCACCCCTCTCTCTTCCTCCCTCCCCCCCTCCCCCTCTCCCTCCTCTCTCCCTTACAATGCTACAGTTCTATGACTTTATGACCTCTGCCTCATACCCATCGCTTACTTGCCGTAGCAGCAGCTTTGTGACGCAAGCCTCGCCACAACTGATAAAATGCTATAAACTCTAATCGAGTCCACTGCAGCTAGAGATATGGGTGCCAGATGAACGATGCTTCTCAAATGAATGGTTTGCGTTTGGATTTGATTCGATTTTGCATTCCGCTGCGAGCCTACTTCGGAAAAAAATGGAATTAGAATTTGGTGTCATTGGGAGTCAAATACAGATTTGATTACAAGCAATTATTATATTTTACATGTATATATATAAAATATATAAATATGTTTGTTTGTTTGTTGTGTGTGTGTGTTTGTGTGTATGTGCGTCCGTGCGTGTGTGTGTGCATCACATGCAGTCACACACATTGCGATTTCGAATTTAGTAAGGAACATCAAATATTGCAAAAAATATAACACGATTTTCCCATGATTTGCAAAAAGTCATAAGTACTTACTAAGATTTACCCTAAGTCATTCCCTTCTTATATGTATAAAAATATAAATATTTCCAAACAGTCTGTCACAGGCAATACCCATGATGGCGCCAAATCACACTCAACTTACACGTGCTAAAAATACTGTCAAAAACGCTATCTAAATTTTAAAATGATTTTATAATCGGCTTAATCCGCTTTTATCCAAAGCGACAGTGCATGTTCACATTTGACAGCACAATGACGCAGCTAGTACCTTCTGTGTAACTACGTGCTGGGAAGGACTGCAAGCGATAAAATGTGGAGGTAGTCTTTCAAGCACCTGACATTTCACATTTACAGACTTTCTACCTTGGTTTTGAATTTCTTTTTGTAAGCTACTAGATGCACTGTCGTTTCGAGATATAAGTACATTATTTTTTTGTATCTAATCATGCAGTAATGGTGTATTTATAAGGATGTACCCACAGTCGTAAAGAAAATGGTTGTTAAAATATAGTTTACCCTAGAATCAGAGTAAGAGAAAACGAATCTGATCTTTGCTAAGAGAAAACGGATTAACTGTTGTGTATGTGTATAACTAAACTATAAAACTTCATATCTGCATTTGTGATTTTAACCCCCCCCCCCACTCTCTCTCTCTCTAACACTGTCTCTTTCATTCTCTCTCCTCCCCTCTCCCCCCTCTCTCTCCTCTCTCTCTCTCTCTCTCTCTCTCTCTCTCTCTCTCTCTCTCTCTCTCTCTCTCTCTCTCTCTCTCTCTCTCTCTCTCTCTCTCTTCTCTCTCTCTCTTCTCTCTTTCTCTCTCTCTCTTTCGCTCTTTCTCTCTCTCTCTCTCTCTCTCTCTCTCTCTCTCTCTCTCTATATATATATATATATATATATATATATATATATATACATATATATATGTATATATATATGTATATATATATATATCCTTCTCTCTCTCCCTCTCCCCCTCCCCCTCCCCCCCCCCCCCCCTCCTCTCTCTCTCTCTCTCTGTCTCTCTCTCTCTCTCTCTCTTTTCTTCTCTTCTTCTTCTTCTTCTTCTTCTTCTTCTTCTTCTTCTTCTTCCTCTTCTTCTTCTTCTTCTTCTCCTCCTCCTCCTCCTCCTCCTCTTCCTCCTCTCTTCCTCCTCCTCCTCCCTCCTCCTCCTCCTCCTCCTCCTCCCTCCTCCCCCCTCCCTTCTCTCTCTCTATTTATCTATCTATCTATCTCTCACTCTTATTGTATTTTTTCATGATCCCGATAAAGATAATAACGATAATGCTATTATGATATTAGATTATAACAATACAAATGGTAATGGTAATAACAGTTATGATAAACAGTAAACAAAAATAAATGATAAAAATAGTGAAAATAGTAATAATCATGGTAATGACAATAACGATAATAACAGAAACACTGATGATGACAATAAGATTAATAATGATGATGATATTATAAAGAATGATAACAACAGTAATAATGATCATGATAATGAGTTGTAATAATGATAATATAATGACAATGATAATAAGAATAAATAGTGTTAATAATAACGCTAATGATAATAATTATGATTATCATAATGATAGAAATAATAATAATAATTATAAGATGATGATAATGATAATAATAATGATATTATAATAATAACAGCAAAGATAAGGATAGTGATAAAAATAATGATAATAACAACATTTGTAGTAGTGATAATAGTATTAATGATAGTAATGATAATAATAAGGATAATGATGATAATAAAAATCATTATAATAAGAGTGATAATAATGATGATAAAGATAATGATATTAATGATAATGACTGTAATAATCACAGTGGTAATAATGATGATAATAAAAAAGATGATATTGATAATGATAATTATAGTAACAATGATAATGATATTGTTCATAACAATAATGATAATGATAACGATAATTATAACAATGATAATAATAATAGTATAATCATAAGTATCTTTAAAGTAACAATGAAAATGATAATAATGATAGTAGTAACGATGATAATAACGTCTATAATATTCATAACAATAATGACATTGATTATGTTTATTATTATCATCATTAGTTTATTAATATGTTATTATAATCATCATTATTTTCATTTGCTAGTATCTTTATCATTGTAATTGTTATTGTTATTATCATCATTGTTATTATCATTATCTTTATTATCATCGCCATTATGATCACTATTGTTGTTACTACCATTATTATCATCATTATCATTATTATCACCTTCTGCGTCATCATCATTATTATTATTATACTTATCATCAATACCATTATTATTAGCGTTATTATTAACAATATTGCTGGTGTTTCTTCTGCTATCCATATTATCATCATTAATATTTTCATATTAATGGTAGTCTCTGATGATATCATTACCATTGTTGTTATCATAAACAAATAATGATCATTATCATTGCCATGCTTATTATTTTTGCCGTTATTATCATCACAATAGTTTCATCAAATTGGTTATCATTATTGATATTATTCTAAAAATCACATGAGGTTAGTCGTAGCTTCGTGAATATGATTGTTGGAAATATTATAATTAGAAAACATTATTTTACTGTCATTGTTAATAATACCCTGGTGTTGCAATAACAATGATAACGATAATGATTTTTTATCATAGCTGTAGCTGTTTTCATCAGTATTATCAGTGTTTTCACATTGAAAACTGCATCATTTATATTAGCAATAACTTTGTGTTGTTATAGTTGACTGTAAAAGAGTCACATAGCATGTTGGTTCTGCTGCCACTTTATAGTAAGAGGATCACAGCTGATCATTGGTGGCAATTTATAATGATTACCACTGTTGTTACCATCATAAGTATATTAGTATTAGTTAGCTTTGAGAATATGGGCATCATCATTGTTATTGTTATCATCATTGCTATATTGTCCATGTCATCAACGGTAACATTGATATTGCTGTTTTAGATTTGACATTATCGGCGTCAATATACAGTCGTTGATAAATTTCCCCAAGAGTGAACAAAGCAAGAATCCCGATGCGCTCTCACACAGCAGTTCATTATGGACTCTTCAAAGTGCTATTGTTGCATCTGCTTTTCTTCACTGCTTAAACGAGTGCAAATAAAAATCATAGAGCGAAAATCCGATTTGGCATCTATAGCAATCCTGACACGAGTTACCAGCGCGTCAATATCTGGGTCGTTTTTCTACCGTGTATTTATTATCTTCAAGGCAATGAATCACTCATCACGTAAAGGAATGCGAACCTCATACATATTTCAATAAAATTATTGATGAGAAGTCGCGGGGATTAAAAAGAAAATAATGCTTACAGGCTGGCAAGAGTCGATAAATCTACAATAGAAATTACAATGCATTAGGAAAATTAAACGCAAGTTACTTCCTTTGTCACCACTATAGTAATGCATTAAGAAAGTCACTCCTGCAGGTAGGAATTTTCTGTACAATTTTCTTGATCCTTTCATGAATTACAAGCATTGAAGGTTTTGTTGGCATATCAACGGAAATTAGGGTGATATCACGTTCATTAAAATGGCTATCAGTTTAAAATGATAATAAGGGTTTAACTATTATCATGGAAGGAAATGTATTTTCATGTTTTGTGTTCATTCATATATGCAAAATACCGCGTGCTATTTCAACACACCCCAAAAAGTAATTAATGCTCTTCTAGATATCAAGAAAGGAAGAGCGGTTTAAAAAAGATCTGTGTGTACAGGAAAAAGATAAGGAACAAGGAAGTAGTTTTTTAAAGAAAATATCACGAATGAAAGAGAAAAAGAGAGAGGAGGGGAAAAAAACGAAAATTTTGACAGATGCGCTTGACGGGATTCGCTTGTTCCTCCTACCCTCCCTGACCCACCCCCACCCCCGAGGGACCCCCAACCAGCCCCTCCCACCCGACATTGGCACCTGTTGCACGTAGTCCTTTTCTAACGCACTTCCTGATTGGTCGGAAGCTGATCCGCGAGTGACGTAGGAGTCGCCCGCGAGCCAATCACCTTCCGCGTTTCATAGACGGTGTGTTGATGGAGGGTGGGAGGCTGCCCGAGCCGAGTCTCCGTCCTGTTTACATGAGGAAATTCGCTCTTCTGGACTAAGAAATGAGAATACAGGCGAGTCTTAATCACGGGGAAAGGAGGGACAAAGTGTACGAAGAGAGAGACGAGGGCGAGGCGTCCCAGAGGCCGAAAGAAAGTCACATCTTCGCCCTTTTTTGCGCCAGAGAAAAAGTCAAACCTTATAGTCTCATTGATATAAAATGTCAACGTCTGATTTGCCTTTCCCTCTCTCTCTCTCCCTCTATCTCTCTCTCTCTCTATCAGCGTCGCGCGATGGTGAAGGAGGCGAGCACGACCTCCGACACACCCCGTGATATGTGCCAGAACGTGCAAATAATCATTAAATAGATATCCAGTGCCGCAGATACGAACAATTGCGAGAGAAAACATGGAAGGCGAATCGGAGTTCTTATCGTAAAGTAGATAGTGATTTCGTGGTCTTACGCAGATAGTGAGAGAGTTAATGGGCCGAAGGAAAGCTTACGATATGTATTGCGGTTCTGAAGGAATGCCACAGAATTGCAATATGTTAAAGGAACGTGCTTGTATTACTTATCTGTTCGTGTGTTCTACATTTCGTACTTTCATTCCCTCACTTGAAGTCAGAAGATTAAATAAGGGCTTCAGTGGGTGTTATTTTGATTTTTAGGTTTATACTGAATTGTGCCTGATGACCTTTCCTCTTGCGTGTGTGTGACGTGTGAATGTATTCAGGAAAGTGAATGTATGTTCTCAGGCATTTGTGCTTCTGATTGGTCTTGTTATCTTAGGATGTTATATTTTTCCTTTACTTTATCCTTATTTTCTTTGATTCTTTTTTTGGCGTGTTGTATAATTATCATGTGTGTTCTGTTTTGTTTTGTCTTCTTCCTCTTTGATAAATTAATCATTATTTCTTTTATCCTTTTATTTCCTTCTATGAATTTACTCATGTTATTTCTTACCATATTTCTTACTATATCATCATTTTTTATTTATCTATTTTTTTCTTAAAATGACTGGTTGTGTTCTATCCAAATCCATGTAATACTGACTCTGACATGTGACGGAAGAGCTACACTTAGAACTCGATGTATTGTCTAAGACTGTCATATATGTTCCGACAAGATGGGCTCGTTCCTTGTCTGGCAAATACATCTGGGAGATCTCTCAGGCTCTTTCCTGCTAGAATATACATGGATGAAGTTTGTTGACCTTTGTTAATTGGATATGAAGTTCTCTTCTAAATTTTCTCTTTTCTCTTCTCTTTCCTTTTTTCTGCACTTCCCAGCATATTGATATGACTGCTGAATTAGCTTCTTTTTTGTACTTCGAAGCTTTCTCATATGAAACTACGCACTTGCTTGCATGATTGTTTGTCACAAGAATATATTTGTTTGCATTTGTTTTTGTGCACCATACCATACAAATATAAGTCAAGGTGTCATCATATTTTGAAATTGCTGTTATCTGATTAGAACTGATAATCATAGTTGATTATGGTTGAGGATTGTTGTAGGTAGAGATAGGAAGTGAAGCGGATTTGTTACTATTCATGGGAAAGGATGAATGGACTTGGAGTGACGTATAACAGCTACAGTGCTGAGTTTAGGAGACTTTTCGAGTGTTGGACAACAGGTGCATTGCTGAGTTTAGGAAACTTTTCGAGTGTTGGACAACAGGTGTGCATTGCTGAGTTCAGGAGACTTTTGGAGTGCCGCACAACAGGTGCAGTTCTGAGTTTAGAAGATTTTTAGAGTAACGTACAACAGGTGCAGTGCTGAGTTTAGGAGTCTTGCAGTTCTCTGTTGTGTTGATAACATGATTGGCTGAAGTAAGATTTGTTTCAAAGAAGACACTTTGACACCCAACTCTCCTTTTTTTTTTACTTAGGAACCATGGATTATCTTTGAAACTATTAGAATTGTAGGTCTCTTCATCTTCTGTCTTCAAATGCGGGAAGCCAGAGGGATCTAAGCCTCACTTCATAAGATTTTCTTTGATCTGAGGCGTCTGGTCACTCCCTGACAGACCTTCTCTGTGCTACCAGTACCTCGTTCTTGTTGAGGGAATCAGGATTGAATGGCATATTGCATTTGTGAATGTCATGAACTTAGGGATAGGATGTTGAATGTTTCACAGTCCATATATGTATAAGTTTGCCTTATTCTACCCTCTGTGGAATTCATTTTATTAGCAACCTTTGACACATGAGATAAACATTTCCATAGGGAGTTATGGAAAAACAGCAAAAAGTAGTTGTTTGTGATGGTAATCATACTAGGGATTTGATCTACCTTTGTACTGAATACCTAAATCTACCTTGTGCTTGATTTGATTGAGCTCTTTTTATATATTTTTTTTACCTTGACATTTTCAAATAAAATCATTTCAAGTTCTAGTTAATCAATAGGAAGAAGTATTGTATTTGCCTTCAGGTAAGTATAGAAAAAGGGTTTTATGTCAGCATTGCCGTTGCTGAGAAG